AGAAACTACTACAATTTCAAGGATAATATTCATACCTTATCTTCTCTAAAGAACCATTTTGATCTTTCACTTTACCCAGTATAATAATAATAATAATAATAATAATAATAATAATAATAAAAAAAAACACAAACAAATAAAACTAATGTACCCAGTAAACTTCATGTTCCTGCATAATGAAGATAGTAGGACCTAGGTTCTATTAATTACTTTTCTGTTAGATGATGTTGGCAGCTAGAACTGAACATCCTATGCAAAAATTATGAAGAGAAACAACTTTAACCAATTATTTAGGAAGATATTCTATGTATTCCTTAAAATATGTGTGGCTTCCAAAAGTATAAATATTTGGAAAACTGTGGACAGAGATTAATTCAGAGAAGTTGCTTCTACTCTTCATCAGCTCATACATCCTCCTTCCAAATAAATTCTTAATTTTCCAGTACACTTTTTCCTTTTTAATTTTCTCATTGGAAATGTGAAATGAATATTGAAATGACCACATTGAATTTTTTAAAAATAGAGTATATTGTGGCAAATAAACCTCCATTCTATTGGACTCTCCCAGTCTTCTTTCAAGAGGCAACCACCATTACTGGATAAAACTGTGTGTAACTTTCAGAAAGAATCCATCTTTATCAACATTTTACTCTCTTTATTTCTCTTCTCATCCCAGTATATATAGGTAATGGTACTGGCAGTTCAATATGTATTTGGGTACATATGTTTTGTTTAGAGTATTTCAAAATATAAATGGATGAGTACCATTTTTCATTTAGTCAGACATTTAGCTTCCTCTTAGTCATGTTCCAATACAAGCATCTGTTAAGGTGAATATCTCCTTACATATTATTTTGGACATTTCCCTTTGGTGTACCTGTAGGCTACTTTCTGAAAAGATAATTAATTATTCAGAAGATATGTTCATTTTATATTTTAGTAGATATTTTAACTGCTCTTTTAAAAATGTTTTAACACACAATTTTTGACAGGATACTGTCAAAAAAATCAGAGCATATTTACAAGGAACAGTATGAGACAATGAAGACAATTCTTTATTTTATGCACCTTTCTGGTCTGTTTTGCCTCGTAGAGCTTATGTCTAAGACTGTAAGTAACTAATTAAATCTATAAGTGAATAAATAAATTAGTGAAACTAGTCAGTTTAGCTGGTCATTTTGGATTTGATAAATAGCACTGCAGGCTTGATTGTTGTAATGCCAAATGTGTCAAACAGGTTGACAACATATGCTATGCTGTTATTTAATTTAGCAACTGTATAGAGAAACTCTCATAAATGATGACTCATTTTTTTTCCCTCCAGGTGAAACTTTATTTTCTCTTTTATTCCAGCTATGTGATATGTATAATTTCAATTTCAAAGGCTTTAGAGTCATACACCCTTTGATTTAGTTTGCGAAAAATGTGTCATTTAATAAATTGGGTTGTGCATACTTTTCAGCCATTGCTATCACAAAAGTAATTTATTAAATCTAATTTTAGAAGAGTCTAAAATCTAGAATGAGAATTTCATAATCGTTACCAGCTTGGCTAACAATGACAACAAAAATTCTAACTCTACTGGTTTTAGATTTCAATGATGCTGATCAATACATGAAAAGTCTTATAATTTAGCAAAAAAATTCCTTTTTTATAATTAGGTTGCTTCAAGATGGACTACAATTTTTGACCAAGCATTTATTATTCCAAAAGCACTACACATTGATTTGCAAATGTGATGAGATATTTTGAGATATGCATTAATTTAAAATTCCTCCAAAGAGTTTAGAGAGCACTAAAACAATAATTTCAAATAATAAATGTGAATTCAGAAAAATATATGGTCAGTTTGAAATAACAAGTGTGTTATTTATTACTTGAATTAAAAATATAATATACAAATATCAAAATGTGACCATGAATTGGAGTAATAATTGCCAAAAATGCCTGCTATGTATTTATGATAATGGCTGCTCCTGAACTAATTATAAATGCATAAATACATTCACAGGTAAGATTCTCAGCTTTTCACATTCAACTTGATCAAGAATTATTTAATAATATTGATAACCTTAATTCTGGGGCTATTTGATCAAAAATTTCATTTTCTAGTACCCAAGTGTGTTTATGTAATTATGTTAATGCACTTAATTATTATGTAGAAATCATGTCTACATATCACATGACAGTATGTTACTTAGTGTAGACTAAAACTGCTATGTTTAATTCATGTGAGTAAAAGTCTCCTCAAATTTGGTCACTCTTATAGCACTTATTTAATCTTCTAGGCAATATTCGGCATTTGCAGCAAATAGGAGTCTAAAGATTAATAAATGGGGCTTCTCAGTATTTCTATGATATGATGTTTTCTCTCCTGAGTTCTTCTATTCTGGTCTAAGAGAGTAATACCATGTCACAGTGTTTTCTCCAAATTCTCTTACCTGCAGAGCAGCTTACAGAGACACCTAGTGGTAAAAGGTAATGGTATCTTCTCAGGCCTTAATGTTGAGTTAATGGTACCAAGTTTTTCCATTTACTTATTTGAAAAACAAGTGATAATCTGGAATACTAGAGTAGGTGTTTCTAACAAAATTGTAATCTAAACTAATTAACAACATGCTTAATGCATCTCTGCCTAACATAATTTATTTTAAATAGGACAAAAAATACTTGAAATTAAAATAATAGAAACTTAAACTAAACTTTAATATTGAAAGTAATTGTGAAGATTTAGGAGAGTACCAAAATAATTTAGTAACTATATTCACTTATTTTGAGAAGTCCAATAATTGCTTTAAAACAGTTTGACTTTTCAAAACTTCAGAGTTAATCAACCTTAGGAACTATGCTTTTGATAAAACTCACTATTTATATGATGAACGTTCCTAGCAATAACTAATAATTTTAATATTAATTAATTTTACACACTTCGCTTTCATTTAAAATATAAAACCAATTTTGTATTTAAAATTTAAATTTTCTAAAATATTTATAGCATGTTAGAAGATCACTACTAAATAAAAATATAGTAACAAGCCTTTTGCGTGAAGTTTAAGTTATATCTTTATACAATATACCTCTATCCAACAGCTATCATTCCTGGGACAACTGTTTCTAAATTCATTTATACTAAAATATTTTTAACTGACATGGCAGATTGCTTCTCTTTCTCCTTTGTGTATGACCCAAACTTACACAAAATAAACAAAATTTTATCCATATAAAGTAATTATGGGTTAACTAGAAATTTTGCACAACAGATTCAGAGAAAATTCAGAAAAATGTTACAAAATCTCAGGAAGCTGCAGTGCTCACACCCGTAGCTAAACCTTTCTAATCCAGAGTTAATAAAGGATGTGGGAAGATGTTTGTTTGTGGCTTTTATCATATCTCGGAATCCATGTTAGTATTAATCACATGTTTGATCAGGATATTATAACCACAATATTATCACAAAATTTACTAAGAATGAGACAATATCAGTTCTGTTTAAGACGTCATTACAAAATAAAACAGATGAAATATATTTACATGACAAAACTACCCAATTATCAAAGAAACAGGTACATGAGTACTCAGCCTGCACTGGGCCACTTACTACAATCAACTTTTCTTCTCTACCTGGGATGGACTGCCGGTCTAATATTACAAATGCTGAACACACGTCTTATGCATGTAAAGATTCCCTTTTGGGCAGGGAGGAGTCTGGTTTCATGGAAAGAACCAGGAGTACTTACTGTAGAGATGAAGCTACTGGAGTTTAGCAGGTGACTCTTCAAGAAACTCGCTTTCTATCGATTGCATTTATTTGGGGGTTTTCCAGCTTTTTAGTACACACCGAATGTGTTCACGGACATTCTCTGTGCGTCCTTCACATTCCCTTGTACTGCTCAGGCATACCTATAAAACGTAATTCTCGAACAACGACAACAAAAAGTAGCGCCCTTGTTTGCAGCTAGGCTGAACCACTCCCTCTTCCAGGGTCCTTTACAGTATGTACATGAGACAGCAGCATGGGCTCTGCTAGTCTAAATGGCAGGACGAAGGCAGGCGATCTCACTGAGCTGGAATCATCAGTCCCTGACCACCACCAAGCCTGACACTGTCCGGGTTATTTCCACTCCTCCCTTTTCTAATCCGAGGATCGCACGGCCCCACGCTGGTATTACGCACATGGTCCAAGACTCCTCGGTCTCCCACGAATGTGACATCCAAGGGGGGCTCTGGCTGCGCCTCCGGAGCCAAGGGACGCCTTCGCTCTCGGCTGCCATCTATCGGCCACCGAGCGCCCGCTTCGCCCCGGGCCCATCATGTCTGCTGCAGCTTGGCTCGCACCAGCGGCGCGACAATAAACAAGTGCACTGGACGGGGCCCTGCAACCACTCCGGAGCAGATGTCTCAGAGACCCCGGCGATGCTTACCGCGTTGCCACCTCCTCAGCGACCGAGCGGGAAGACGCGACTTTCTCTGAGTTTTTTAGAGCCGCCGGGCTGCCAGGACACGCCACAGGCGTAGAACAACGCTGTTCCTGCCCCCCCAGACCCCCCAAAGGATGTCGGAGATAGAGAGTTCCAAGTAATGACGATCGTGTACGGATCTAGGATAGAGAAAAAGCCCAGCGAACACCGGGAGCAGTGAACCGGCCAAGAGGATGCGGGAGCCGTTCAAATACTAATTAGGGGCCGCGGC